TCTTATGCTGTTTTGTAAATGGATGTCCGTTTGTTAATGTTTTCCTTCTTTTATTCTCAAAATAAATTTTAAAAAAGGAAAAAATAACAGGCTGTTCTGGTAAGAGCAGTGACATTAAATGAGTATCATTTTTGATACTATGAAATGAACAATGTCCACATGTGCAAGATTTGAATAACTCAATGAACTAATGTTTTCTAATAATAAACCAAGTTATGGTACAGTCATACATCAGTAAAATACCCATTCAATGTACAAGCCAATCCAAAAGATTTTAGTATTAACCACACAAAAATTTCTCTGCTATGGTTTTAGATTCTACATGGCAATTAACCTTCAAGAAACTATCACTCATCAAGTTTTGGTGAGGTAGCAAATGTCTATAATCATTTGAAAAGGCTACTGATATATTCCTTACTTATCCAACTATATTATTTGGGTGAGGCCAGATTTTCTTCATCTGCTTCAGCCAAAACACCTCTTTATTTTTAAATAAATATTTAAAATTTTATGTTTCAATTTCTACCTCAATAAAAATCAACAGGCATCCTAAACAGAAAAAGGTGCTTCTGGGTAGATTCACCATTTTTAACACTGTCAATAAGATTATTTTGAAAGAGGTAAGAGGTGCATGCTGTAACTCCAATTAAGAATTTTATCAATTTCTACGCTTTCTAGGAATACAGATAATTCCTCAAAAGCACATTAAAATAGTTTGACTTTATACACTCAACTGTTACCTACATTTTCATTAACAAAGATACAAACATAGGTGATAATCTATACTATAAACCCTTCCCTAGTCACATAAATTTAGAGTATAATAGTAGCCGAGAGCCAAAATTAGTCCCTTACCACTGTGAAATGCTGGTGCTAGGTAGGCAAAGCCACCACTGTCAAACAATCTAAACTAGATGAGTAGAAGAAATGAGGTGACAGAAAGCTTTCACAAAGTAGTACCTACTTACAGGAGTCTTGAACCAAGTGCAGAACTATAAAAACAAGGTGTGTTTTTCACACCTTGGATAGACACACGGTCTATCCATGACTGGCCTAAACTTCAGGAAATGTGACATCATCAGAGAGGTAGGTCAATGCTTTCCATTCATGCTTGACCAAGAGTACTATTTAAGATTCAATATAAAATGAATTTTTAACAATGTGATTTTCAAAATTACAAAACACAGATCCAGTAAGAGTTTCAAAGACAAGGCAAGTTCATATGGCAGATGCACTCAGAACAATGGTGCCTATGAAATTTTATTGCTGTATATGGTAATCATTGGTTAAAATGTTTACACACTTTACACAGGGTTAGTTGCCCATGCCTGTAATCCCAGCACACAGGCGGCTGAGCCATTGTCTTGAGTTTGAAACCAGCCTAGGCTACACAGCAAGACCCTGTCTCAAAAGTAAAAAAAGTTTATACTGTCTAATTGAAGAGGAGGACTGCTATGGTCATATATTTTCTCAGAAAAATTAAGTGGAAATAACCTATACACAAGGAACTAGATATAACTTGTGAAAAAACAGAATTGAAAAATTTTCTATATTTGTATTTAGGTAACAGCTTTTGAGTTAATGCATTTCTATAGCTACATTATGATTTTTGTTTTTTGTTTATTCTGTACACTTAATCATCTGCTTAAAATAATCATTTTGTTTTATAAATAACACCACTTATTTGCACAGCAACTGCAATGATACAAATCAAATATTCCTTGCTCTTTTAAAAAAAGAGAAGGGAGTCTGACCTTTTGAGGTATTCTTGGATTTGAAGGGTATAAAAAGAGACTAGATACACTGTTAAGTAAAATTTTAAAACAAGTGCTATAATGACTACTGTACAGACGACTGCAATATACTCTTGTCTAGGAAACTGAAGGCAAAAGGACTGAGATCCTCTGACTTTGTGGATTTAGTATCATGTTCAATTTTGTGCTTCTGCATGGGTCTGAGGGGTTTCAAAATGATCACATAGGAGAAATAATGTCAGCTAGAAACTCAGAGGAAAAGGGTTTAAAGGGGACTTGAAAGATACCCTGAATACCAAGAAAGCACTAAAGGGAGAAAACAAATGGTTATATTCCACTTTAAGAGATAAACACTTGCAGGTTGGTTAAAGAACACACTACAACACCAGTACATCACTGACCTGGGCATGTTTTGCGAAGATCCCTGGTGATGCCCTGCCTAAGACTGGTAAAGGACTGAAATCCAAAAGGAAGATACCAAAATCCTTATCACTCAGACATGAATACAGCAAGTAAGGAGGGTTTTTTTTTTTTGACAGTTAAGGGAATGTGTCCTACACATTAGCACAATTTAGTACTTTACAACAGTACCCTATTTAACCCTCATAACCATTCTCTGTACTATGTCCACTATGAGTTACACATGTCCTGGAACTTCTCCCTTGCTGGTGAAAAGCTAAATCATCAATGTCACCAATCACTGCTCCCTGAGAAACTTATTAAGGGAAAAAATGGGGAAGGAAGAATATATTTATTCAAAAACATTTACTGAGCACCTTCTATGAGCTAGGCACTTAGGACATGTTAATGAACAAGCACAAAATACCTGCCCTTGTAGACATTATCATCTACAGGGACAAGAACAAAGTAATTCCCCAAAATCAAAATAAATATATTTTATTGTGACTTCGAGGTAATACATGCATGAAAAAGGAAAAAAGCAGAGCACTTCAAGAAGGATACAAGGTGCAAACTTGTACCTATCAACCAGGTAAACACTAACAGGGTGACATTTTAGAGAAGGCTGGAAGGACATGAAAAAACTGGCCAGGAATATATGCAGGGAGGGTATTAAGGGAAGAAGGAAAACTCCAGCACTAGACCTAAAATGGGAATGTGCCTGCCATGTGCAAGAATTAGCAAAGAGGTAAGGATGACTGGTGTGGAGAATGAGAGGGAAAGAAATGGTAGAAGAGATGCATTAGCAGGAACCAGATTGTGTAAGGCTTTGGGGTCATTTAGGAATATAGCGTTAACTCTGAGTGACAGGGAAGACCCCTGGAAGGATTTACGTAAATCTGACTTACACTCTGAAAGATCATTCTGGTTGTTATGTTCATAAAGAAAGCCCAGGGAAGGAGAGAGACCAGTTATTTTCTAGAAGGCCACTGCAACAGTCCAAGCAAGAGCAGCTACAGATTGGGATAAAGATGCCAGCAACAGAGGTTAGAAAAGTGACTAAATTCTGTATTTATTTTGAAAGTGGAATTCTGAATACAGTTTTAAAGACACAGCAGCAGGATTTGCTGACATTCTGAATGCAGAACGGGAAAGAGAGACATCTAGATGACTCTAGGTTTGGGCATATACCTGAAAAACCTGAAAAATGGGGCAAGCTGCAGGTGGAACAGGTTTGCAGAAAGAGTAGAAATTTAGTTTAGGTCCTAGTAAGACTAAGTTGTCTTTAACATAATCAAATGAAGTCAAAAAAGTACTTGGAGCTGTCTGACCTAGAGATAGACATTTGGGAGTCTTACCAGCCACATGGCACTTTACTAGTCTCTTGACTACCTGTGACAGGACACTTGGCTCATTCCAAATGAAAAGTGAGGAGAGAAAACTAGCATTAAATAAATAAATAAATAACAATAAAAAGAGGAAGCCAGCAGGTCAGTAATATAAGAGAAAAGGCAAGAGTGTGTGATGACCTTAAAAATCAAATGCAGAAAATGAAGTACAGGGAATGATCAATTACATCAAGTGCTGTGAACAGGAAAAATGATAAATGTTGGATTTACTTAGTTGGAATATTTTCAGAAAAGCCCTGGTGACTGGCTGCTACCTCACTTCACCCAAGAAAACACAATTATACACTGACCATGTTTCGTCTCAATCTTCTCAGGAATTTGATGTTTTTCTAAAGAATGACCCACAATAAAGAGTCTGATCAAATGTGAGACTCTAGTCAGTATATTTCTTAAGAAATACCAGGATTAACTGCAGGTGCTAATTGCCACTTCCCACTCCTTAAAGAAATAAAAATACTTCTAGGTAAAGTAAAAATAAAAGTATAGATTTCCTTTGTCCTGATGAGGAAAAATGATAAATCAAAAAGCCAATATTGTACTGCTATCGTCCTACTAAAATAAACAACACAACTTTTTACAATATCACCATTACTATTTGATGATATTCCAGAAGCATTTTATAACATTCAAAACAATAACTCTAAGGCAGTGATGGCGAACCTTTTAGAGCTTTCAATAATACAAACAACCCGCTTGCAGCATGCATGCCACAGGTTCACCACCACTGCTCTAATGCAACCTGCTCTAAAACCAAAATAAAAGGTGTAATTTGAAAGTAGACATGAGTGTCACTACCTGGAAATGATTATAAAATTAGGAAAATCCAAGAGAATAAACTGCAATGTTCTTATAATACAAACCAGCTATGAAACAAATGTACAAAATCAACAACCACCTTAGACTACCAATAGCCAATTTGATGAACATAACAGAAAAGCAATTTCTAATTCCTAGAAACACAAACCACTCTACAGGTGGCGGTTCTTGCCAAAGAACAAAATGCAACATGGCCTGATGGTACATTTCAATTCTAAGGATTTATCTTTAGGGTTTTCCATAACATGATGGCATATTCAACATATACATTCAATAACACCCTTTCCCTAAATTCCACTAAAGTGACAGTTAAAACTTTCTAGAAGCCCTGGAGATCCTTTTCAAATGACGATTTTTAAAAAATGAAGTACTTGTTTTATGTAACGTATTGTGACTTTAGCATCAATGTGAGAAGCACATGACCAATGTCTCAGTCAACCTAAGGGCGCCTATGCTACACCAGCAGTGAGGAAGGCCGGGCATTCTGGTTCACCTAGACCTCCGGCACAAGGGTGGCCAGCTAACGTTAAGATTAGTAAAAGTTGTTTGGGAAGCTCTCATAGTCACTCCTCCTTGCTAGGACAAAATACCTGACACATGTTTCCTTTGGTTCACTTTTCAGTCCATGCCTAGTTGTCTCCAAGGCAAGATGGCTTGACCTGGCCTACTGGAGGAAGGAGGCTCACGGCTTAGTCTGGGGAGCAGAGAGTGGAAGAGAGGATCTGAGAACAGAGACAGCTCCTTCAAGGTACACCCCTGTGAAGCCTCTTTCGACCAGACCCCACCTTCTACCTGCAAGTCAGCTATAATCCAGTCTCCTTCCAAAAATTTCCCCTATGAGCACATGAGGCTCTTAAGGGCTACCTAAATATAAAGTGTAACAGTATTTTCAGGGTTTCCCCCTTGCTCATTATTTGTTTATGAATTCACTTTATGGAGTTCTCCAAATAACAAAATATTCAGTTAAAAAGTAATGTGGAAAAGTACCAGAACAGACAACTCCCAAAAGGAAAAACCAAAACAAAAAGGCAAATTACTAATTTCACTAGTTACAAAATAAATAAATAAAATAAAGTCAATTCTTACAGAAAATGAGGAAAGCTGACTAAACACTGAAGTGCTGACACACTGGGGGATACAATGGTTAAGGGAATTTGCCATGGAACCAGCAATGTGGCAAGAAGCCTCAGAGTCATAAAAAAGCTCACCTCTGTCCCAGGAATTCTACCGCTATAAACCCAGCCTAAGCAGTCAGAGGAACTCAGACTCCCAGGCAAGAGCATTTATCTCTGCTCTGCCTGTATGACCACTAAATTACTGAGCTGAGCCTACATCCTTTAGCAGATCCTGTTGGCCTTCCTTTATTTGGCTTATGCCATCTCACCAAAACTATACAGCATGCATAGTTACCCTTACCTCATGGAAAGAAGATGAAAGAATGAGGTAATTAAGGTCATTTACATAGGAAGCAGTCAATCTAGAATTTGCAAGGAGAGTTTAATACCAAATGGCCTTTCATGATGCTGTATACCTGTAATTCCAGCACTCTGGGAGGCTTTGACAGGAGGATCAAAAGTTTGAGCCCAGTTTGGTCAACTTAGCAGGACCCTGTCTCAAAATAAAAAGGACTGAGGTGTAGTTCATGGTAGAGTACTTACCTGGCATGCTAGAATGCCTGAATTCCGGGGGAGGGGGTGCAAATCAGGCCATAGAGAACTAGTGCAACAAGCTTGGATATAGTCCTTATTAAAATCCTTATTTTCCAAGGATTTAAAGGTAGAAGAAACATCTGTGATACACTATTAATTAGAAGGGCAATATTTAAAACTACACAGAAAATTACAATATCAATTTTGTTTCAAAGTACATTTATGCACAAAGACCTAAAGGAAAAATAGAAGTTTATCATCCAATTAACAGCTGATTTCTGGATGATGTCAGTGTGCTTTTTATTTCCTGAATATTTGTTTTGGTAAATCCCAAAGTGTCTATAAAATGGGTAGGTACTCTTTAAAATGTTTTGAAACGCTAGAAACTTTCAACCACACTAAATTTAAAAGGGGATACATATCAATAACTGCACATTAATGCACATTTTCAAGGATTTTGTCACTAGAGTAATGGGAGAAACACTACACTGATAGGGCTTAATGGTAATTTTATTTATTTATTTATGTGTTTTTGTCTTTTTAAGTCAGGTTCTCACAGTGCAGTTCAGGCTGCCCTTGAATTCACTTTGTAGACCATGCTGGCCTCATACTCCCAGTGATTCTCCTGCCTCAGCCTCCTGAATGATGTGCCACCATGCCCAGCCTTAATAATTTTAAAGTATGCAATGGAAACAGGAAAGAAGATCAGGTATGACATTAGTTCCACAAAGCATTGCTGGTGGAACTACAAACTTCAGACAAATGAAGTTTCCACACTATTCCCCTCCCATAGTAAAACAGGGGTAATGAACCTTACAGAATTTGCTTGGTGGCCCACTTAACAGAAATGTAGCTAGCACATAAAACAAGGTTTGTAAGGGAAACAGTTCAACTCCTAGTAAACTCTCAGAATTACTGGAATCTTAAAAGCATTTTGGGAGTGACTGAATTCTAATTAGACAGTAGATTTTGAAGGATTTAAAAACATAAATCCTGAAACATATATATTTCTGTAGTATTTCATTCTGAACAGTTTCAATAGTTCCTTGCTAGGCAAACTGAAATTGCATAACTAGAAGGCCTCTTCTGAACATGAATAATTATTTTTTTAAACTGCTCTTTGGATGTGTGTCTGCTGAGGTAGGCAAAGAGTGGGCAAATAACATGCTTAGGTTATTTTAAAGTATAAAATTACAAGTGGTTAAACATTTGGAAAGAATTTGGGCAAAGAACTTTCTAGGAACGAAACAACTTTAAAAAAACTTGATAAAATGGCATTTTTTTTTCCTTCCACAAACTATCAAGTTTTTTTTTCTTTGCATAGCTGTAGAATATTTCACTTTTCAAAATGCTTAAATATGTTATAGGACTTTAAAAAACGAATGTTCAACGTGGTTGCTTGTATCACCAAAACAGCATCAATAAGTAATTCCGTAGTTACCTTAGAAAGAAAATGCGGAATCCGACAAGCTCACCTTTACCTGAGCTGGGGCAAAGCTCTGAAAAGGGTGATTGAAAATCTTTAGAAGGGAAGAGCTCCATTTAGAAACTCAGTGCTAAGAGGACCCTCCCACTTCCCCGGGCCCAGTTGCTATGGGAACCCGTAGTAACCCTTCCCATTCAGCACCTGAAGCCAGCGGGATGCTCCCTAAGGCCGGGGAGGGGGAAAGAGGGAAACAAAGGGGATGGTTATAGGAGGGCAGCAGAGTGAGGATTTGATGGAGAAACCTTCTGGCCATGGCAGTGGGTCAAAAAGGGCAGTCTCAGTAACTCTCAACAGAAATTCAAAACACCGTCTAGAACAAAACTCTGGGTTGCCAGAGTCAGATTATAGTTCAGTTAAAGTTTGAACCATTACAGACGCTTCCCTCCCTCCCTGGTGGGAAACAAACCACCCTTTGTGAGTTCTTGTCCAGGGAAAAAGAACTCGAGTTTCAACCCATCAATTACGAACTGAACGCCCCTACTTAGCAAAACTAAAGACTATCTTACACTAAACCAACGGTTTCCAAACTCTGCAGCGCACCGGAACTACCTGGGGAACCTTAAAAACACATTCGTTTTAATTGGTCTGGGATGCAATATGGGCATGCGGAGTTTTAAAACTCCCCAGCGATTCTGCAGGGCAGCCAAGTTTGGGAACTTCTGTTCTACAGGACTTGGGGAGCCGGCGGGGAGTTATTTTAGAAGAAAAATAAAATAGAGTAATAAGCACAATGATCTCCGTTGGCCTTTTAAAAAACTAATAACTGAATCTGCTAGTTTTCTCGAAGCACACACAGGACAATGGGGTGCTTGGTAAATCGGAATCCCCAGCACGCCTCAACAATGCTCAGAGATGAAAAAGGCCAAGCGTTCCAAGAGAGCCAACAGCCCTCTAACCCAAACTCCAAACTTCGGCATCTATTTTAAGTGTGAAGGAGCCCGAGCGCCGGACTCGGAGGGCAGCTCGCGTCCCGCAC